ATACGGTAATATGTTTAGTATGAACTCAAGTATAGTTAGGACTGCAGCTGTAATGTAGATTGACTAAGGAATTCCAGCTAACACTGTCATTCTGTGTGCTCTTTTCTGGAAACATGTCCCACAGAAGAAAGTGGAATTTTCTTCTTGGTCAGACTGCCCTGGAGAAGGTTACAGTAGGCTTGTCCTGTATTCTATTCCATAGAAATAATGTTTTGCTTCTAGATACCTGCCTGCCGTCCTGTCTTGAGTTTCTAAACCAGAAGACATCACACAGACACTACATCTGCAATTCTCTCTCCTTCCCTCAGTTTATTGACTTCATAATGGCTGCCTCATTCATTACTACATTGTGAATATACTGGGTTGTGGTGTTGCACGTGTGCCAAGATAAACATGTTCTTTATGTTATTCAGCTTTTTTTAATTAACAGCACATGCTGGAAATTCATTTTCCCAGATATGAGATGTGGAGACCCCCCTTCAATTCCCAATGGTGAGGCGAGAAGTGGTGCCCCTAGAAAGTATGCTCCTGGTGAAATCATGCAGTATTCTTGCCATGAAGGTTTTGAAATGGTTGGATCAAGTACTTTTGCTACATGTGGAAATATGGAGTGGTCTGAATTACCAAGTTGCAAAGGTAAGAAAATGTGCTTCCATTCAGAGGTGAGGAGTTCTGAATAACTGGAGAGGGTTATTTGAGCATTCTACACCATTTTGCTATTGAGAATACGCTGGGAAGATGCCTGAGAAAGAACCCCACTGAAGATATTAGAGGTTCACAGGGCTACACCTCTGACATTTCATGGCCAGTCAAAACATCATTCCATAAGCTGTTACTGATAAGAGGTGAGTATTCCAAACAAAAAGTTCCAGCTTTTGAACATAACTGAAGCAGGACCATATTTAGCAGAACGGAGACAGTATGGGTTTGCTATATGACAACTTTGAAGAAAGCTGGACAAGTTCTTTTAAATTTCAAATCTTTTTTTAAAAAAAGCACTTCCTATCATTCCCATTCTTGTGCTTTCTTGCCTTCTTTTCTTATTTGTTTTGTTTTGTTATTTGTTTTGTTATTTTTCAAATGCTTTCCACTAGTTCCTCAAAGGAAACTATCATTGCTGCAAGTTTTTTTTTTTTCATTTGACGTTGATCCATCTTGTTGTTTAGAAGATACAGGACCTTAAAGATGCTTGTTTTACAGATGAAAACTTGCATCAGCCATGTTGAAATATTTCATAAATAAGAAATCTCACTGAGGTGATTGTAGCTTATGTCCAGGCAAGATGGTCGACTGGGACTTCAGCCTTACCACAGTCATGAGTGACTAGGAACAAATAAACACATACTGACAAGTCATGGGAGTGGGGATAAGAGAGAGTACAAGAGAGAGAGAGAAGTGAAAGAAAAAGAGAAAGGGGGGAGAAAGAGCCACAGAGAAAGAGAGGAAGAAGGGACACAAAGAGGGACAGAGATGTATGTGCTTTGTATTTGAGTGAGATGTGGATCACTGCTAAAACTGCTGAAGTCAGGTTCTGGGATTTTCCCTTGCTTGACATCTGTTTACTAATGGCAGTGAGCACAAAAGAAGATTCTGTGACCATTCTGGCTCTTGAATTTGGTGTCATCAACATTCAGACTATCCTTAACTATGTAAAGCTTGCCATCCTTTTTCCTACTTGAAGAACAGGGACAATGTGGAAAAGCAATGCTGCACCATTTTCTGGCATTTTGAACTGTAGACACAGGAAGAATATTCCTCAATCAGAAGCCAGATTTTTTTTTTTTTGAAGAATTGGATATGAGCAAAGATAAGTCATCAGTTTGTCACAAGTGCTACTATAAAACCTCAGGAAGAGAACGTAGAAAATTACATTTTTTACTATGACATCTGGAATCCGTATGTCAGGGACACTCCGTTTGCACCTAGTCATCCATGCCTAGCTGTGCCTCTGCTGAAATGAGATGCCCTGTCAAACTGCAAACCTTCAGGGTCTCCAAACATGGTGCTTTGCAACTCTGAGGTGTGCTAGAAAATTTTGGGAGCTACTCTAATCAATTCACAATCAGAATAGGATAAGCTTCCCACATGACTACGTCTGATCTGCATCTAGATTCAGTATACCTCAGAGAGGCCATGATATGAGCTCCTTTGTAATATTATGTGGGGCATGTACCAAACACAGCAGGTGTCACCAATGGACTAAACCATCTGAGAAATAGGTCATAGCTTGTGCCTCAGGATTCTCTGCAAAATTCAGGGGATCCTTAAAAGAAGGACTGAATGTTCAGAGGAAGCAACCTGCTTCCCTTGTCATAGAACACTGGGAAAGCCGTGAACGTGGACCTGCACAAATTCAGACTTACTCTAAGGGCTGCATGTTATATAAATAAAGTGACCATTTGTTGTATTTTGCAGCATTTCCCACAATATCTGTACAATTATGCAATAATTTTTCTTCACTTTTCTGTCTGTTGCCATGTAATACATGAAGAACAAAACAAATCTCAGTGTTGAATTGAAGCTCAGAGGCTTAGTGACTTGGTCAAAAAAATCTTTGGGTAGCCTATCAAAGTCTATTCTGAAGGTTCTATTTTTGTTTGTATATCTTTTCAGAAAAGTCATGTCAGAAGCCTCCCGTCATCCTCAGTGCTTCGTATCGTCATACTGTTAAAAACTCCTATAAGCCTGGAGACAGAGTAGATTATGAGTGCCATCCTGGTTTTGCAGCTAAAGGACCACAAACTATTACATGCAGTAGAGGAGAGTGGTCACAGCCCTCCACCTGCGAAGGTACATCCTATGCTCTTCTGTGGTGAACAGTTCACAGGGCAGTTACTTGTGGCAATACGTCAAGGGAGCTTGTGAATGTCCTGGGCTCTTTTCATTAGGTATGCAGGCTCAGGTGGATTTCTGTCATCCACAATCCTGGAATCTAACCTATCTTTCTCACCTAAGCAACAAAGCCTGATTTTCCCAAGACTTGTAGGCAGAGCAAAAACATGTTTGGAACTCAAATAACTGACATCTCTGGCCAAATGGTTCAAGGGTGGGAGTGTCTGGAATGCTTCTGCTCAGACATTGGAGAGCTGCTGCTGTCAGCCGACATTGTTGTGAATGGCCATTGTTGGTGAATGGCCAATAGTAGAGTAGAACGCTAGAGCAAGAATCCTAGGGAAAAGTGATGTCCTCGTCCATCCTGCAGAGCATGCTGTTGCATGTGAGCTGCTACTTATGACTTCTCTTGGTGTCTGTCACTGAGTATTTGATATCAGTACTGTGTCTTCTCATATTTCCACCTTCCTTACCCCAGTAGGTCCACAAAGGAACAGAACCATTGCACAGGCAATGTCTTCTAGGTGTTCTCTCTGTGATCCCTTTTAGAAATTGGTGCACTGAGGTGGTCCTAACACGTTGACAGCTGTTGTTTTCTGGGAAGAGGCTGTTACTCTCCACTGTGAGAAGACTCTTGGCAATATCAGCTTTGGGCATGAGCTCTCTGTTGTGCAGCAATAATGTTCTCTGGTTACATGCCAGCCGGGGCCAAAGACACTCATTCAGCCACATTCTATATACTACTTAACATGCAAATTGATCTGATCCATTTCCTGGTTCCACCAGATGTAAGGCATTGGATTATGTGGATAACAACTATATAGGCACAGGCTATCTTCTCAATTGCTGCTGAATGTTCATGGAAGATGAGTGAGATCCCCTTCCTATGATTCTGCTGTCTCCTCTACACATAGACATGTTGGCACCCTAAACTCAAAGTCTGATAGAACTGTGCACGCATTGCTTTGGCCCTAGTGACTAACTAGAATCATAGAATAATAGAGTTGGAAGTGGCCTATAAGACCATCAAGCCCTTAAAGAATGAACAGTTATTATGAAGGCTGGGTGGAGGCAGAGTTTCAGATAAGTCCTTACTTCTTTGCATCATCTCCTCATTCAGATGTAACCTGCAGAGATCCCCCTCTGGTTGACAATGCTGGTATTGTGGAAGAGAGGGCAGAATCATACCTGCCAGGCCATGAGCTGCACTATCAGTGCCAGGAAGGTTTTGAAATATCTGGTTCGGACACCATAAGGTGTGAAAATAAGAAATGGTCAACACCGCCAAGGTGTCAAGGTAGGCATTTATATTTCTTGCAGAGTTCCAAAGTGTGCATGGAAAGCTCCGAGAGAATAGAGAAGGTTGGAAAAAGAAGGAAAGGGCAAACTCTTACCAGGCTTCTGATGACATGTTTGTAAAATTCAGCTTTTAAAGTAGACTATAAGTGCATCCACAAGGTTTAATTTTAGAAATTAAAGAATAAAGCTATCCTATGTGTGTAAAGGCTATTTTCTGAACAATGTGAGCTATTGCCATGTGAGTATCATCTGACAGAAGGCAGTTCTGTGACCCTCCTCTGGAAAGCATTGAACCACTGTATTGCCCTCATGGCTAAAATACACTGACTGGCCTACATGAGTGAGATACCCACCTCCATCAGGGATTGCTTGGAAGGAGGAAAGGTCAGAGTAACCTCTCGTATGGAAAGGCATCAGGCAGTGCCTTGGTGTGTGTTGTGAAGGTATCTATTTTGATAGAATCATGGCATCAACTAATTGTTGTGACCACATTTATGGACCTTTTGGAGAATTATGTCAACAGGCCTGATGGTTCACCCTGTGATTACTGATAATTGTATACCAGTAAGGGTCTGGGAATCACGTTTTAGGGGTATTTACTCACAGCACCCAGATATCACTGTTAAAATTCAAGAACTGCCAGTTGCTTAATGGATTGGCCCCCTGTTTCCGTGCAGGAAATCAGCTTGTTGATTCATCAGCTGAAAAAGGGCAAAGCCCCAGGCGCTGATTATATCACAGCTGATTTTCTGCAGGATAACATGGATTGGTGGACCCCGGTTTTGGCATCAGTCTTTACATGGATTGACCACTCAGCAGTTATTCCAAAGGATTGGGGGTTTGCTATTAGAGTACCCATTTTTAAGAAAGGCTGTAAATCAGACCCAAGAAATTACCGTCCAGTAAGACTGCTAAGTACTGCTAGCAAGCTTTAAGTGAGTCATCTGTTAGGAATACCTCAAAACTGGTTACATGAAAGAAATATCCTCACTGAGGAACAGGCTGGATTCAGAGCAGGCAGGGCCACTATAGACCAGGCATTAGTTTTGCGACATCTGGTGAATAAATATTCCACTCCCAAAGGGGTCTCTCTGTATGTGGATTTTATAGACTTCAAATCTGCATTTGATTTGATTGCCAGGGGAAAACCGTGGGCAGAATTTGAGACTACAAATATTGACAAAAGACTCCTTTTGCTAATGAGGTGATTGCACAAAAATACTAGTCTTAATGTTATTTATAATAAAAGGTTATTTGTAATAAGGCGGGAGCATTATCTAATGTGATACCATCATTTAATGGGTTCAAGCAAGGCTGTGTTCTAGCCTCAACATTGTTTAATTTCTATATTAATAATATAGTGAATAATATATTGAGAGCAGACTTTCATCCCCCCAAGCTGAGTACTCGCCACCTCTCAATTTTGCTGTTTGTGGATAATGAGGTCTTGATGTCAACTTTGTGTGTGGGTTTACAGAGAATTTTAAAAGCCCTAGCCCTTTATTGCCCCAAAGAACAACTTTCAATTAATTATGATACAGTAAGACAAAGTTTATGATTATTAGCAGAAGATGCAATAAACATACATGGACATTAAATGGGAACAACATAGAACACGTATCTTGTTACAAATATTCAGGTATGATGGTGGTGCCTTGGGTTGCGAACTTAATTTGGTCCGGATGATGGTTGTAACTCAAGTTGGTCATAACACAAAGCACCATTTCCCATAGGGATACATTGAAAAGCGATTAATCCATTCCGGCCATTTTTTGGTTGTATCTTAAGGCATTGGTTGTATCTCAGATCATTAGTTCCCATAGGAACTAATGCAAAATCAGTTAATCCACCCTGGAGGGGGAGACTTTTTTTAACCTAAGATGACCTCTAAGGTTTAAAAAAGGGCAGGAAAGGAGGGATGGAGGGAGGTAGCAAGGGAACAATCAGGAAAAGAGGCCTTTTTTCTGGTTATATCTCAAAGCCTGTTGCAAGTCAAATGCAAAATGTTGTGGCTGCAAGTCGAGACAGTTGTAAGTTGAGGCACCACTTATTTCATTCCTCAGGGTCGTGGTCCTCCTATTTGAACCATGCACAGAAATGCAGTACTGTGCTATAGAGGGTCTTCTACACTAAGAGTGGACAGTATGTACCATCAATCATCCAAGTCTTCAAAGCTAAAATAATAGCCCAAATGCTTTATGGGGCTCAACTGTTTGCATATTCTAAATTGAAGCCCTTGGAAACAGTACAGACAAAGTTTTTGAGAGGGATCTTCACGGCATCTCTATGTGTCTTGAATCCTACACTTCGTTTGGAGGCAGGGTTAGTTTCCATCAAAGCACAAGCTTTGGCCCACATATTTAATTACTGGTTGAAACTTATTTTTCAGGTTTGGCACCCTTGATATTAGCAGACATCTTCCATTCAACCTGGAAGAGGAATCTATCTGCTAAATTACTGAGGCTGGGCTTCTCCTCAGGTGTCCTCTTCACGATGGGCCATGCTAATGCCAAGGCGGCCATCAAAAAGAGGATCAAGAACATTTAGTGGTGCTGGACAAACTGGGTGTATTTAGGTATAATATATTTAGAATGCCCAATTATCTATTCAAAATAACAATCCCCAAATTTAGGAAAGTTTTTATGTCAGTTAGGTTGAATGTACTTCCATCTGGACTACTAGAAGATAGATATCAGGATTTGCCTGATATCACTAATTGTACATGCCCTTGCAATGAGGTGGAGATTGAAACCACTGATCATGTCTTCTATCAAGATATTCAGAGGGATCTCCTTGAGCCCATATAGCAACCATTTCAAGGGAGGTCCAGAGAATTTTATGTTGTGCTCTTACTATCGGGCAAGAAATTTGATATAACTAAAGCAGAGGCAAAGTTTTGTGTGGCAGCAATGAAGTGTCACTGTTCCCTCAATAGGTTGTATATTTTTAATTGTACTTTCAGGTTATACTAATGTTTGAATACATCTGCTGGTCAGTGACCATAACAAAGAAATTAAATTAATTACATCTCCATGAAACCAATGGGAGAGTTTATCAGAGTTTTGAAGTTCAGTGCCATCAGCATGCTCATGACACCTAAGTTGTTTGTTGTTTAGTTGTTAAGACGTGTCTGACTCTTCATGACCCCATGGACTAGAGCACACTAGGCCCGCCTATCTTCCACTGCCTCCCAGAATTTGGTCAAATTCATGTTAATAGCTTCAATGACACTGTCCAACCATCACGTCTTCTATTGTATACTATATTAAATAATCAGTCCTTTAGATTTTTCTCTGTCTTTTCTGACAAACCTAAATAATAAGTGGAATGGGATGGGGAGAGCTTTGAATTCTCAGTCTGCAGTGAAGGAAGTAGCCATATCACTTCTAGCTGCTCAGGAAACACAGGGAGTTAATAGGTTACACTCCAAATCACCGACTCCCTTTTTTTTTGTCTCAGAAAAAAACTCATCTGTTTTCTTTTTTACTCTCTTTTTTTTAAAAAAGGACTCTTCCCTAACTGATTTTTACTCATCTCCTTTGTCTCTCCTTCCCTTCCAATGAGTCTGATAGGAGGAGGTTCTCAGAAATTCTGCTAAGCCCAACACTCAAAATCAAAGGTTCCAAAACATACCTGCTTTTTAAGGATGCCTAAGATCTCCAGCTGACTCCTCTGGAAGCCCCCCACCAGCACAGAGCTTACAGTTGGTCTCCCATGTCATAGCAGAGCCCTTCCTTAGTTTCCTCGTGAATGAGTCACCTTCCATAACTTGATTCAGCTGACTTTCCCTTTCTCTCCAACTCAGGAGGATTCATCACAAGGAATGAAAGCAATACTCCTGGCTTATTTCAAATAGAGAGTTAGGACGGGCTTACTCCAGAGGAGGAGCATGACATCCCAGGATTCAGAGCTGGAGAAAGCAAAGGACCTTTCTCTCTTGGATCTCTCTCTGGGGGAAAATTTATAAATAATTCATTTATCTCAAGTGTTCCCAGCATGAATTGGCAGCATTTAAAGCTTTATTCTCTTCCCTTCAAAGCTCTGAATGAACTTAAGATTCAATTGGTAGATGCACTGGTCTCTGTCTTTACTTCTTACCATTTAAGATGTACTCTTAAAAGACACCAGGGAGAAGAGCAATTAGTGAGCCCATCAGAAATCACTTAAAGTTTCTCCTTTTGTCCTCCAGGTATTTTCCCGAACTTCTATCTTTTTCTGTCTCTCTTTCCTCAGCACTTATTCTCTGAGCCAGAAGCTGGTCCCAAAACCTTACACTAAACAATCTACACATTTTAGAAATCTTATCCATTTGTAACTGAGGATGCTCAGACCTCTGTTGCCTATTCTGTTAGGTCCATTTGGTCTATCAGCATAGCCAGGTGATCTACTTGGCTTAAATACTAAATGCTCCCTGTCATAAAGAATATGAGCAACATTGGAACTTTAGAAGTAAATGGTCAAACATAGAACATCAGCATATTTTCTGATAATTGACATTAGCTGTAACCCTCAAAGAAGACTTACAAGAAATAATGAAAGGGGTTCAAGAGTATGGAGCAGCAGCAGGACTAAGTATTTATTATAAGAAATCTGGAGAGCTACATATAAACATTAAACCTGTAATACTACCAGGAACACAAAATGATATATGCATCCCAGTGCTCCATAAATCATTCAGAGATCTGGGAGTAAATATTCCAAATTTTAATCCAGTGATTAGACAGATAAGAAAAGATGGCCTCAGGCACATTGACAATCATGAGCAAAATCTGTGCTATAAAAATTGCACCCCTAATACAACATTTCTTTCTAACTCTCTAGCTTTTAATTTAAATAATATCAACTGTGGGTCCTGACAGCAATTTTTAGAATATACAGTGATGCCTCGCTTAGCGATGTTAATCCGTGCAGCAAAAATCGCTGCTAAGCGGTTTTGTCACTAAGCGATTTTAAAAAGCCCATAGAAACGCATTGAAACCCCTTCAATGCGTTACTATGGGCTCCAAAACTAACCTTATGCGAAAATCCTCCATTGCGGCGGCCATTTTCGGTGCCTCTAAAGCGAGGCAACACAGCAGGTGGCCATTTTGTTTACCCGGCAGCCATTTTGGAACTGCCGATCAGCTGTGCGAAAATGGGGCTTTGCGATGATTGCTTCCCTGCAATCATCGCAAAGCCCCCACCGATCAGCTGTGTGAAAATGGGGGCTTTGCGATGATCGCTTCCCTGCGATCATTGCAAAGTGAATTTTCCCCATAGGGGCCATCGCAAAGCAATCGCTTTTACGATCACAAAAACAGTGTCGCAAAGCAATTTCTTCGCTATGCGGAGTGATTGCTATGCGAGGCACCACTGTATAATTTAATTGTATTTTAATTGTTTTATCTTTTTATTGTATTTTAATTATGTTTTAATTGTTGTGAGCCACCCAGTGACCTTTGGGTAGAGTGGGTGGCATATAAGTTAGATAGATAGATAAAAAAAATAAATAAATAATAAAAGGCTTGTTTCAGTGGCAAAAAAATATTTACCAGTTTCATCCATCAAGGTAAAAGATGGCTTGCAGAGACTTTGAGACAAAAGAGGTCGTCTCAAAGAGTTGGGGAGAACCTAGAATACAAAAATATTATGAGGCAAAACAATTAAAAACATTGGTATTTTATGTTTTTATATGTCATATCTGGAGAAAATATCAGAGAAATTGTGGACAGGCATGAAAGCAATGGGGAAGACACCTATATTTAATTTTTAAAAATGTATTTGGAGGGGAAAATAAGAGCTATGAAATAGGGAGAGAGATATTTAAATAGAGTTTTATGTCCCTTAGTTTCCCCTCGAAATGCAATCATGATTGAAAACACTTTGGGAAGATGACATTTTGATAAAAATAGAACAAAACCTATGATTTGAACTGATTCCAACGGATTCATATTTTTAAAAAGTAGAAGTCTCCCTACTTTTAATCCCATGAATTATGACTGGGGTGGGTCGCTGTGGCCTCATTAGCATTTCCCACTGCATCATATGCTCAGTGGGGAAAATCCAAATATGTCTACCCCAAACCAATAGTTTCTGCGGATTTTTTTGCTTATATGGTCTCCCCTTAATTTAGGAAGATTGCATCAACAATTCTTTGGGAACATTTCTTAAAATTATTAAATTGATGGAACATTGTTCCAGTGTGGAGAAATTGTTATCAGCAAGGTGTATAAATGAACATGTGATGGTTATATCAATTTAGGGGGAAATGTTACAAAAATGGCAAATACTACATATCAAACTATTCATGCTACACCAGCTTTGGTTTTATCAACAATAAGAGAGAATCAACAAGAAAAAGCAACATCCAAGGGATTAATAATAATGCTCATGCTGATGGCAGCTTGCCGGGCTGGAAGACCACAGAACTCTTAACCTTAAACTGCTGATAGTCTGAACTGTGACAAATTGTCATGGCAAAAAAAAAAAAAAAAAAAACCCACAGCAGCTTGGAGAAGTTAAAAGTGAAGCCAAAATAACAAGGTTTTTTAAATGAAATTTGGCATGACTCTATTTTATCTGCAACTCAAATATGTAATCAACATCTAAACCCTTCCTCAGTTTATTTAAAAAAAATAATTAAGTACAAATGGTAATGTAAAGAAATACAAAGAAAAATTTCAAGCCATTAATGAATTCCTCTTATATTTTTGATGGTGAGATAAATTTAAAAATGTGTTAAATATTGAACTTTCTTCACTAACTAAATTTCAGTTGTATGTATCTGCTTGTTGGGGTTTTTACGTTTTTCTTTTTTTAAAAAATAGTTATTTCTTTTGGTTTGGACTGTTGTTTTGTGTTTTAAAATGTTTGAAAACATTCCCAACCTAGTAGTTACGAATGATGCCAGCCCGACAGGTGATGGACCACACTATGTGAACAGACCCATGCAGGGCCATTGGTCTTCAGAGGAACAGACACAATTTACTGGTTGGAACAACCCATCTAACCACAATGCATCTTCAGAACATGTTTTCATGTTGCTACGTTCTAGTGAAGAGTAGTTTCACACTGTCCCATATTGGTCAGGATGGAGAATATCATAAGAAAAGCCCAAAATGACCAGCAAGGAGGCATGTACCTTTTCTCCCTACATACTAAAGCAATACCTTCACGTGATAAGAGAAACGCATTCACTGCAACACATGTAGGCTTCATCTTCTATGCAATGCTGAATGACCAGGTCTTGCATCTGTCCCAGGCTTACCTCCATGTTCATCCCAAACAGCTTTGACCTACTGAGTTTGATGTACGCAGTGCAGACAATGGCTTTTTGTTTTAGTCTGTTCGGTTTCATTCTGATTTGAATGAGCTTCTAGACTCATATGGTGTTTTTGGTACATAAGTGTCCAACACTGGATCAATCACTATGAATTTTTGTAGGTTTCATACCTTCAGAAAGTGTAAATACAATAGGAAACATTATCCAGGTCTACTAAAAAAGAAAAAAACTGTGGAGTGTGTAGGCCTTTGTTAATGGTTCTTATGTAGTCAATGTGGAGAATATTCAAGGATGCAGAAAATGAAACCAAGTTTTCTTTCTTGCATCCAAGATGAACCATGATAGTGTTCCAACTTTTTAAGATGGGACATTTTCTGTCCTAATCTATAAGGCAGATTTTGAGGCCAATATAGATTTTATATTCTGCAGATAAGGCTACTAAATATACAAACATTGATTTGGGAAAACATGTCTATTTTCAAACCATCTATCACAGACTGTTTTGTTTACCCTTCCAGATATGCGGTGTCCTCCTCCACCTGCTATTCAAAATGGTCAGCTTAATGGAGCCCCAAAGCCACAGTATTTCCCTGCAGAGAAAGTGAGCTATCGATGCTCCCCATCCTACAGTCTTTTTGGACCTTATGCAGCAATGTGTTTGAAGAGAGAATGGATAAACTTACCAGAGTGCAGAGGTACTTTTTTGTTCTAATGAAAGAGAGAATACTGTTTGACAGGCTGTCTCCCCACCAGCACCACTTTTTTGTTTAACCTCGTGTTTTGTGGGAAGATTCTAGAATCTTTAATAGTGGTACCATCAGACTCACCAATCTGAGGACAGCCCGCCTTATGTGTACTGCAACCCGTTCAAGATCAGATTGCTCTGGCAACCACCCACCCAGAGGCTGCAGGGAAGGAATCCCTGCCTTGCCTCCTTGTTTGAGTGGGTGGCTGCCAGAGGAGGCAGAGAAGGGAAATCCCTGCTCCTGCCCAGGCTGGTCAACTGCCCCAGGAAAAGGACCCAGCCAATGCACACCACCTTGTGAGTGTGGCAGCTGGGTATGGGGAAGGAATGCCACACATATGAATTTAGATGAACTGGAGATGAGTTTATGCTCATCTCTAATCTAGGTTGTTGTTGTTTTTTTGTTTTGTTTTTTGCTGTCTCTATCCAGATTTACCTTCAAAAGTAATTTGTGAGTTCAAATAACATGCTTCATATAGTGTTTATTAGAAGTTATACATGGAGGGGGAGATATGGGGGGCAACTGCAAAATGGCACCACAAGAAAGGCAAATACAACAGGACATGGATTTTCTCCAGAATGACCCTTTTCAGATAGCTTGGATAGCCAGGAAGTTATTCCATGATAGATTATATCTTTGTATTGAGTGATTTACTGAGGAGAAGGAAAACTCTGATTTCAAACCTCCACTGCCTTGTGGCTATCTCCACTGATGGAAAAGGCTTCAGGAGATAACCTCAAGGCAAAATCCGGAGCCAGAGTCCCGTAGACAGTTTGTGTTGTTCTGCCAATTCCTGCAACGTCGCTGGAACCAGTTGTATTGGCTCTTGCCTTTCCATTGGACTATTTCAGTGACGTGGAGAGGGGGGATCTGCTGCTTGGGTAACAGCCTATCCTCCATATTATTATACCCAGGCTTCATGCTCTGGAGAGGACACTCCAGCTTTGCATACAGTGTCGAAATAACATAGGAACAAGCAATTACTGGTTATAGGTCTTGCTTGATTGGTGCAGAGCATGATGCCAGGGGCTACTTCTGATGGTGGGAGAGCCGAAAAGTAGATCAATAACCCTGCACCATGCAACAGTCAGAAGAAAACATCTACCCTAAAGTTGGGCACCTGGAATGTTTGGACAATGACCCCTGGCTTTTCTGACAACCTGCAGGAAATAGACGATGTGCGCAAGACAGCTGTCATCGACATCGAACTGAGTAGACTGCGGATGGACATTGTTGCCCTGCAAAAGACGAGATTGCCAGACATGGGATCTGCCAAAGAAAAAACTTCTCATTCTTCTGGCAGGGAAAACCATTGAACGAGACCAGGGAATATGGTGTTGACTTTGTGGTGAGAAATACTCTGCTGAGATCAATTGTTCCACCTACTGTGGGGAGTGAAAGAATCCTGTCTCTGCAGCTCCACTCATCAGCGGGACCAGTCACCCTCATCAGTGCATATGCACCAACACTGTCATCCACAACAGAAATCAAAGACAAATTCTATGACGATTTGGTGGCTACTATAAAAAAAAGTCCCTGAGAGAGAGCCGCTGTTCATTCTTGGAGACTTTAACGCTAGAGTTGGTGCTGATCACAACTCTTGGCCTACCTGTCTAGGCCATTTTGGCATTGGGAAGATGAATGAAAATGGCCAACGCTTGCTGGAGTTTTGCTGTTGTTATGGTCTTTGTGTCACCAACACATTCTTTAATACAAAGCCTCAACACAAAGTTTCCTGGAGACATCCAAGATCGAAGCATTGGCATCATCAGCTTGATTTGATCCTCACTAGACGTTCTAGCCTATCTAGTATTACGATCACACGCAGTTACCAGAGTGCTGATTCTGATACTGATCACTCCCTGGTGTGTAGCAGAATAAAACTGCGAACAAAGATTGTATCACACTAAAAAGGAAGGAAGACCATATATAGATATCAACAAGATTCACAATCAAAGAAAACTGGAGAGATTTGCCCAAGCGCTTCAGGAAACCCTTCCAGGCCTGGCTGATGCAAATGCACCTGAACGATGGGAACACTTCAAGACGCTGTATATAACACCACCTTGTCCACCTTTGGCAAGAAGACCAAAAAGACGGCCGACTGGTTCGAAGCCCATTCGGAGGAGTTGAT